ACAAAAAAAAAAAAAAACGCACAACGTAATTACAATGAAAAAAAAAAAACGAAGCCGAACAGAAGAAAAAAAACGAAGACAAAAACCGAAGGAAAAAAACGAAGACCAAAACCAAAGAACTGCAAAAACCGAACCACCAAGCCACACGGCAGAGCTAAGAATGAAAGCCATCTGGCTTCCCCGCGGATCCCTTCTAGCCATGGATCCCGAATTTATTCCATAAATATTAATCGATCCGATTGCCCCCGCTCGCGTGGAATGTGTCAATCAATCCGGTATTGCCCTGGTATTGCCCCGGGATTCCCTTTTTTTTTTCTCTTCCAGGCAGGTCCTGTTACGTCAGACCCGTTTCCGGTATTTTTTTATTTTCACTTTTATTTTTTTCTATATATATATTTTTTATAATCGTACCATTTTATTTTATACCGCGGTAAATATATAATTATTTTTTCACTCCGTTATTTATTCCCCCCGTCATTTATTCCGTTGTCGCCGTAAAGCATATCGTTTGTGACATCTCGAGAAAGCCTCGCATTTGTCACGGCGTCCGAAGGGCCTTTTCACTCTCGGGGGCCCTTTGAGAAAGGGCCAGCCTTGCCCTTTGTGACGATTCAATCCCCGCGCGACGGGAATAAATTTTCGGGAAGAAAAACTGTCGCAAATTACAGGGATAAACAGACCGGTCTGAAATTAAGACAAGACTGTCCCGCAAACGGTAAATACAAATAACATTGAGATTTAATTTTGTTAATATAATTGAGTAAAAAAAAAATGAAAAGTTAAAATGAAATTTTAAAAGAGAAATTCAAATAGTTTCAGCTGCAGTTGAAGAAAACAATATGAAAATGGTAAGTAAATAAATAAATATAGCTGCAACCGGTACGTTTCAATTTTAACACGTTCTTACCAACTTTAAAAATTTCCCGTGACAGTTAAAATTTAAAAAAAATTAATAAAATAAAAAAAAGTATTTATATATTGAATTTAAGTAAATACGAAGGGCACCGGACTCACCGGTATGCGTCCGCTTGTGAATCTTGAGATTCTCCGACCGAGCGAAGACCTTCCCGCATCCGGGGAAGGGGCACGGGAACGGCTTCTCCCCCGTGTGGACGCGGATGTGGTTGACTAGCTTGTACTTGGCCTTGAAGGGCCGGCCGTTGCGGGGGCAGTTCTGCCAGAAGCAGGCGTGGTTCGCGCACTCGGGCCCGCCGACGTGCTCCACCGTGATGTGCGTCACGATCTCGTGCATCGAGCCGAAGGTCTTCGTGCACGGCTTGCGCGGGCTCGGCTGGTCCTGGTCGATCCACATGCACGTCAGCTCCTGCTTGATCGGCTGGCGCATGTAGCGGAAGAACGCGCCGTGCATCGGGTGCGCCGCCGCCACCTGGTGGTGATGGTGGTGGTTCAAGTTCATGTTCATGTTCATGTTGGCGAACTGGTGATGGTGGTGGTGATGGTGGTTCTGGTGGTAGGAGTTGAATTGGTCGGGGGGGGCCGGGCCGCGGCTCCAGTCCGTCATGCCGAACCGCATTTGGCCGTTCATGTGCTGGTGGGCTGTGTCGTGGAGACCTGGAACAAATCATGGTAACATGTAAATAACATATATATATATGTATTTAAAATAAATGTATGCACAGGTGAATGTTGTACACATATTTATTAAAATTGTTGTGAACTCCTGAAATTTCTTGAGGTTCGTCATCGCAGGAACCGTTATCATTTTATTCATTCATCTGATAAATGTCTTAAACATATAAATATATACATATATTTATGAGTACAAATGTCGTCCATATTTCTTGAACCTAATTTCGCGGATGTGAAAGTGCGCGGATCAAATAAATATTTTCGATTGTAAATGATCGGCTATGAAAATAATTGCCTCTTGGTGAAAATAATTGCCCGGAGCATTGCCTCAACCCTTTCTCTCCCTTCTATACATATTACACATATATATTATCATTATATATATTATATATATTCATCAATTCGCATCTCACCAGAGCTAGTAAATACAAAGCAAAAATATATGTGGTACCACGCGTACCACCTCTTCGCCACGCGTGATAAGATAAATAAAATCGAGATTCCTCAGTGTCAGCTCGAGGTGACATGGTAAAGAGACTAAAATAAAAACCGGTTGTCGGAGGGGGTGGAGGCGCAAAGGACCTGTCAGCCCCCGGATCAGATAACGCCCGATGGAAGCTGGAGATTCCTGGGAGTCGGAGATTCCTGGAAGGCCCGGCCCTCCCCCTTGGCTTCGGCCTTAATCCCAGCGAACTGAAGTGTGGTTAATGGGTGACGGGGTGCAATGGGTGACATTTGCGGCCGAAGGTGACGTTTACGGCCGAATGTGAGTGAATTCCGCGTTTATGAGCAATGGAGATGAAACAGGACTGGTACTTGGGAGATGAAGCGAGATGAAGTTAAGCTCAGAACGTTAAGCTCACAAGTCACTTGTTACGGCATGACGTGTAATGGTGCTTAAGATTGAGCTTGGAGTGGTAGGAGACTTAAGATTGAAATTGGAACGGTCGGGGACTCAGGATTGAACCCAGGATCAAATTGGAAATCGTGGCAATCTAAGTTCATCGTAAGCACTAGCTTAAGATGAACTTAGAATGAACTTGGAAAGATGAGGAATCATCCGGCGTTGAACTTGCCACGTGCAAGTTCAACGCCGGATGCAAGTTAAGTGGAAGTTGGACTTATTCGGAATTGTCTCGCGATGGATACGGACTTACAACTAAAAGGGAATCATCTCGCGACTATGCGTCGAAAATAGGAATTATCTCGGGATGAACTAGGACTGGGAATTATCTTGAGACGAGATTGGACTCGAAAATGGGAATTATCTCGCGATGAACTAGGACTTACAATTTAAAGGGAACCATCTCGTTACGAGACTAATACTTTGGAAAATAGAATTATCTCGAGATGAAATTGGACGTGAAAATAGGAATCATCTCGAGAAGAGATCGGAATTAGGCCTAACTGACCGGGGAAGAGGACGGGGTTGGAGGTGTGATCCGCATGAGGCATGGTGGAAGGCACGAACATCCCGGGATGCTGATTCTGCAGATCGTGACCGGGGAGTCCCGGGAGTCCCATCGGGTCCCGGCGGAGGAAGAGGTCCCGGGCGGCGTAGCTGCCCATGTGGGCCGCCGCGCCCATCGAGTACCCGTTGGCATTGGGGAAGTTGGACTGGCCCTGCGTCATCTCCTGGTGGCTCGGGCTCAGCTTCAACGGGTGGTGGTGGTGGTGGTGGTGGAGTTGGTGGTGGGGGTGCCCCGCTGCCGCACTGTCCACGAACGGGTTCAACATGATGATCCCATAATCTCGAGAACACTGACGGCGCCCCCTCGGTGAGAACACAAGGGCTATGGACCCATGCCGCGTCCCGATTGGTGGGAGCCGGACCCCCTGTTCCTGCCCCCCCTCGCGAGCCCCCATTGGCTCCGAGACGCTTGCGCCCTGGGGGGGACGTCCCTCCTAGGGGGCTGGAGCATCTTATGCTCCGTCCGCCTTCTCGCCCTCTCCGCCAGATGGCGGCACCTCCTGGATTCCCGATTCCCGAAAATCTCGGAGTTTCGGCAGGTTACCTGTAACCGTGCGGTTACCGGGCGATCACTCGATCATTTTTGAGACTCAACGAAAATTTCACAGCTCCGCATTGAAGCTCATGCTCGTTCGCATTTCGTTTGTCAAGTCGGCTTTTCAGAGGAGTGATTTATAAATATTTGAGCATTCCATAAATTGCATTCGCCGTGAGAGGGAAGACTCTCGTAATGGCTTAGCACCGGGTGCTAACGCATTACAGTCCATTACAGCGTGATGCCGCGCGGACAGACCAAACAAGCAGCTTCGAATTTCTAAAGCCATTAAAAGGCGGCACGTGCCATTTGTTTGCAGACGGAAGGGGGTCCAATCAGCCGAGACGAAGACGAAGAAGACGAAGAAGATGAAGACGGAGAAGACGGGAGAAGATGAAGACGGGAGGTGGCGATGACAACCTCCGGCAGGAGGTGTGAAGTCCGCGCCGGGAGGTGCTAGGCGGGTCCTGCAGCGGGAGGCGTGACGGCCCCGCGGTGCATGCGGGGACGCACGCCGGGATGCACGCGGGGATGCACGCGGGGACCTATATCGGGGATGGGGAGCCGGATCCCCCCCAGAGCGGGGAAGCAGCTTGACTTCTGTATTTGCGGGGACCCGCTGCGGCGTTTGTTTGCAGCCTTCGCGTTGGGAAGTCCGAGAGGTGTGGAGGTTCGTGGGGTTTAACTCGTGATTGACGTGGAGAGTGGGTAATGGGGTCATGAGGGCCTGTACTGGTTCATGAGGGCCTGTACTGGTTCATGAGAGCCTGTACTGGTTCACATAAGCCTGTATTGGTTCACATACGCCTGCATCGACTCACATAAGCCTGTATTGGGTCGTGAGAGCCTGTATCGAATCATGAAGGCCTGTACTAGTTCATGAGAACTTGTATTGACTCATGAGAGCTTGTATTGGGCCATGAGAGCTTGTACTGAATCATGAGAGTTCATGAGAATCTGCTTACACACGAAAACGAATTTTGAAACCGAGAGAAAAAGAGAAAAACACTAAGAAAGTAATTTAAAAAATCTTGAACTCGAGACCAAGCGGGACGACACTAAGATCAACGATTGACCAATGCAGAAATCGCCTGTTAGAGCATGAGTAATGCGGGCGGTTAACCGCAGAAGCACTAAAAATTATCTGGATGCAACAGATCCTTGAATGCTTGGAGCTTTGGCCCCAGCCGAAACGACCGCATGAAGATTCGAAGTACGCACTTGCCCTTGCATAGGCGGAGGGATGGAATGCATGAATTTCTATTGCCCTCATGAAATGCATGAAGCGTCAGCGATGATATTGCCCTCAGACTCACCTTGCCCAGCACTCCACCCCTCCACTACCATCATCCACCCCCCTACTACCCCGTTACCACTACCCCACTACCATTACCCCACTACCACTACCCCACTACCACTACTGGTAAGCATGCGTCCCTTTACATTGGTCGAATTGTGAAACAGATCCTGTCTATCATCACGTTATTTGAGTTCGAAAGGCCGTTTTACCTCAGGGATTTTCATCTCCGTGAATTCCAAAATGTAAGCCTTCTCGACAATGCCATCGTGATGAAGTCATGACAAGGCCTTCATGATGAAGCCATGACGAGGCCTTCATGATGAAGGCATCCTGATAACGTCATGATGAGAGGCCTCACGATGAAAAGCACCGTGATAAGGTCACGATGAGGCCGTCATGATGATGGCCTCGCGATAAAGCCATAATGAGGCCTTCCACGATGAAAGCATTTTCATTAAGTGATGCTAATGCCTTCATGATGAAAGGCACTTTCATGATGAAAGGTACTTTGATGAAGTAATTCAAGTCTGAGCGCGTGCGGCACAATAACCACGCTGCATTATTGCCACTCGAGTCAGTGCCAATTGGCAGAAACGTTGCAAGGAGGAACTGCGCTAGTTTTGCCACCAATTGGTGATGAAGCATGAAACCGCGGCCAATTGGCAGCAATGCGCATTAAATCTTGCTGCATGCACGCAGTTGCTGCCGAGACTCAGATCTGCGATAATTGCCCCATGAGTCTCGCAATAATTGCTCCGCCGACTGAATTGCAAGAAAACTTGCCGCCTCACTGTGAAACAGCCAATCGGAAGGTCTGCCAAGTGGAATGACAAAGACGAATCTCGCTGTGACCCTGGCACCGTTGAGAATGGAAAATGTGAAACTCGAGAACTTCTCATCTGTGAAAGCCAACGGAACGTTCCATCGGAGGCAATCATGGCAATTTCTCGACTAAATTGCTCGACTGCCGTGCCACGAATGCAAAAAAAAAAACATTCGAAGCCTCATCACATTGGACGGGAAAGGCGAACGGATTCCCAATGTGCAAAATTGATAAATTTTGCAAACAATTTTGCAAATTGGTGCAAGCATTTCCATGCTTTGTCACATTTGCCGGATTTACCATTTTGATAAGCATCGTATAAGACCGATGCACCGATTTAAAAATTGGCTTGCCATTCAGCCACCTGCACGAAGGAAAAGCTTATTTTCCCAATCCGAAGAGCAAATATGCGCAAATATGCAAATATGCGTTTTGCCCCTGTGAAACGGCCGTGGATTTGCAGTCAGAAATTTAGCCAAGTTTTACAGGTATCAATTACTGGTGATTTGAATTTGTTGCAATACTACATGGTTGGAAAATAAATTATTTAGATAATATTTTCCCCTGCCAGCGAAAAGGGAATATGCACGCGAGAAAAAAACACTTGCCCAAATTTCCTTGACTGAATTCCGGCTGACGGAATTGAATAATTCTCACAGTCGTTCGATTTCGGTCGGCCAACGATATTGCATAAGACTCACGGTCGCTCAATTCCTTCTTGTCAACGATATTGCATTACATTCACGGTCGTTCAATTCCCGTCGGTCATCGATATTGCATAATATTTCGCTCACAGTTGCTCAGTTCCTGCCGGTCAACGAAATGGCATAATATTTCGCTCACAGTCGCTCAATCCCGGTCGATTCCCCCCCCCCCCCGCCCCGCCCCGCCCCGCCCCGATTAACGAACCTCGTCGGAATCCGATGGCGACGGATTTCGGCGATTGCCAAACCCTCAACGTTTCCACTCGGCATTCTTCCAACTGGCAGACGCCCATGAGGGGAATGGGAAAGTGGATTCAAAACAGCCGATAATCAATCAATCGATTGCGCTGCAGCGATTGATTGATTATCGGCTATTTCGCACTGGAACAAAAGAAAGGATTGACCTGATATTGTCCTGATATTGTCCTGACCTATTTCGTTCTCGGGGTCGATTCATCCGCGGCTCGCTCCATGGGCGCTTCATTGGCGCTCCATGAGCGCTCCATTGGCGCTCCATGGGGACAGTCGCCCCCCCACAGAAACAAATGTGGGTGGGCTCTGCCCCCTAACGAATTATAATATCCATTTTTATTTCTCGCCACTTCCCTTTCGGGCATTCCAAGAATTCCACCCCGCCCCACCACCGAGAATAGAGGGAAAACCAAGAAAAACACTCATTAGTTAAAAGCCCTTCCTTCTATTGATTCATTATGCGTAAATGAGTGACTGCTTCAGCGAGAACTCCATGCCCCCCTTGCTCCCTTTGCCCCCTCCTTGCCCCCATTGCTCCACGCCTCCGAATTTTCTTCCTCCTTCTCAGATGAAGTCAATGTGACAACAGAAGGCGGTTCGACTTTAGGGTCACTGCCACGAATCCCTCAACCGGCGAATCCCTCGACCGGCGAATCCCTCGACCGGCGAATCCCTCGACCGGCGAATCCCTCGACCGGCGAATCCCTCGACTTGTGAATCTCTCGACCGTGTCTCAGTTGTTTCGTTTAATTGAGGTTTAATAGTCCCCCGCTGTTATGTTTTTTTTGGACTAGGTCCTTCTGTCCCCCTGTGCCAGTCCAACAGTGACAACGCCGTGACCAAGGACGAAGGAAGGGTAGGGGCAAACAGCGGGGCAAATGCCCCCTCGCTCTTGCTAGTCCGGGGGGGGGGGGGCCGAAGGGTCCATTTCGCCCCCTTCGCTTTTCCCCGTTAGATTCATGTCTCAGTCCAGCGGATCGAGTACTGGAATTCTCATTTACCCCCCACCCCCTCCCTGCCCCCCCCCTGCCCCCCCTTTGCCCCCACTTCACACGCTGGAACGTTCCCATAACGGCAACAAGACTAGTGCAATCGCCAGAACGGAGAATCAAGACTCCAAGCAATCAAAACCGGATTTCGAGATCCGGGACCTCCTCACTTACAAGACCACGACAAATTTTGGCTAGCATTTAATGAATTGTTTCTAAGTACTATCAATTAACACCTGAATTCTCATTCCCTGTAGCCGTGCTTCGCATGATTGCTGGAATTCCCCCAGCAGAAAAATATTTTCAGTCGATTCGTGGATTCATTTTCGTCGTCTCACTTCCCTTGTTTTTCTATATATTTTATTATTAATTATTATTATTATTTTTTTTTTTCAGCGTCGAAAATCGTCGAATGTCTACGGCGACGTCCATTCTTTTCCCAAATAAGAGTTAGCCTTTGTCTCTCACCTGGTTCATGCCCTCGCTCAGCAATCAAAACTCGTTCGAGGCCCAGCAGGACCATCACACGCTATGATTTTGCTCACATATGCTCCCATATGAGTGAATTGGCCATGAGAAGAACTTCTCAGTTCCCAGGGTGAAATTTTGTTACTGGTTGGGACTTTATTGAGGAGGGTTGGAGCATGTCAGCGGGTGGATGCGAAAATTGGCGAAAATTGGCTGGCAAGGTGGCGAGAAAAGGGTTTCGAAGCCAATATTTTCCGAGACTT